TCCCCTCTAAAGAAACCAGAGTAAGCAAACACTTATAAGCTTTTATTAGATTTTTATATGTCTTTATGGGATTCCTGGGCTCATTAGCAGCAGCGGTGCAGCTCAGGCAGGATGTCTGTGGAGACTCTCTGTGGGGGGATCTCAAGAGTGGAAACAAATGCATTTGGAGAGGAGAGGCACTAGTCGGCCTGCTGATGGTCCACAGAGGCTAAATAAATGACTTTCACTGAGCGCATCAGGAGCGCGCAGCACTCAAACAAATGCGTTTAAATGGGAGGAAAGAATAGCAGCAGAAAATCCTCAGTGCCTTTAGCAGCACTGGCAGATGTCTGATGACTGTTGTTGGTCCCAGCAAGGACACAGTGAGGTGAAAATGTGTTTGCTGCTGTCGTTCTGTCTGTACGTGTGTTTCATTTGAGAGAGCAGCGTTTAATTATGAAGTTTATTATTAATACCCTGGAGGGCAGTATGAAGGGGTTTATTTAACCTGGATCCTCAGCCCAAACCAGAGAAACTCTCACTCCTCACTCCTGTAGGGGACAGCAGACACTTGTATGAGTCACAGTGAAATGGACATTTCATGTCAATAATTGAATTAGAAAGTCTCAAATTTGTTAAAAATAAATAAATAATCAAACACTTTTTAAAAAGTGTAAAATATTAACAAAAAATATGTGTAAAAAAAGTCAAAATGTTATAAAGTATGTAAAAAAAAAAACACAATCTAAAGTTTTCCAGGCAAAGTAAAAAGTACCAGAATCATAATTTTGCTGCACTGCATTTTAAAAAATGGTTTATGTTGAATTTAAATGAATTCAAAACAAATAAATATGAAAACTGAATGTGGAAACCAAAATGTCTTATTGAATGATTATTACGCAACTAATTTAATTTTGAAGTGAGGTTGGCTGTCGACGTCTTTTTCAGATTGCAGCAGGGGTCGGTCTCTGAGTGTGGCGATAGAGTTTCTGATTGATTCGTATTCGTTGCTGCCGCCGCTGGAGCGGAGCGCGCTGCTCTGAGAACTTTATCTCTTTCACTCACAGATGTCACTTTTATATCCACACAAGTTCAGGTCCAGTTTTGGGCCAAATACACCTGCAAAGGAGCCTGAATGGCAGGGATTAAAAGATACTGTAAAACACTGGTTGGGTGACAACCGTTGTCTGCTGTTCTCTAGGTGACCTGACCGTTCATAATTTTCTACATTAGAGTTTACATTCAAAGGCAGTCGGTTTGACTGAAATTAAATCGAAAAGGTAGGAATATAATCACAATACAAACCAATTATATAATTTGGACAAGTTTGGCAGGTCGGATTACAAAGCTGAATGGACCACATCAGGCCCCCGGGCCTTAGTTTGCTTAAGCCTGTTCTAGCCTTTCCCAGGAGCATTTTAAACAAGTATCATAAACAGTTTTTCCATCTATACTACTGTATGTGTCAGAATTGAAACCTCGTGCTAAATTGGAGCCGATCATTTCTGTTTTCTATCAAAGAGAAGAGAAAGTAGTCTGAACTGATGGGTTCATATCCCTTTTTGCCCTTTTTTAACCTCCACTTGTTAACAGTGAATTTGAGACTGAACTTAAATAACTTCCCCTGTCGAGCTCCTCCACACCTCCGTGACCTGCCACAGCTTCACACTCCAGCAGCACAGATGCTCAGTTTGTACCTGTGCTGTAGTCTTGTCTTCAGCCTCCACACAGGCTGTGCCAATAACAGCATCTACTGCAGCTACAGTCTGTCTTTTCAAAATTCAAACATGTTACAGCTCAGTATTTATTTAATATTTTCTTCTGTACTGCAGAGCATTAACACCTGGTGACCTGGCTGATATATGGGACTATAATGTCACTAATAACAGGTGTTATTGTTCAGTGCTGTAATGAGAGCTCCCCCTCCCCCACTTTGCCTATAGATAATGCAGCATCGTACAATGCAGACCAGTCAGGCTTGTTGTCATTGTCAGTGTTGCGTCGTCTGCTAATTATCACACCCGACCCCACTCCACCCAGTTGCTTGTCCGACCCTTAGCAATAGTACTTTTATTTCTTGTTGTTAACCCATTGTCATCGATGTGACCTGTCTGTATCTTCAGCAATGACAGAAATGGTTTCTGTTTGTGATCTTTTTAACAGTTATTTCTCTGAAATCGCCAGAGTGCAACACGTAAGAAACCGATGATTAAAAATAGTTTTGATTTCGCTTTGAAAGTGAACTGTTTCTGTGCGGTCAGATAGTGGTAAAGCTACACTTAGTAGAAGTTATTTTTCAACGGTACAGGAAGTTCATCCTAAACCAGTCATTAAGCATGAAGCTGATGGTAAACAGTGCACACTGACTATTGATTGGTTGTTTACTTCTCCTTCCTACAGCCCCAGAGGTGCCCTCGCATCTCTGCTGGTGAGAGATTAGGTTCCCTATTGTCATCAAAACTACACACACACACACACGCACACACACACACGTACACCCCCCAATAGATTTGTTGAAAGCTTCTCACTTATGCCTGAGTGGCCAGCTGTAGGGGCCGGTGTCTTTGCTCATGTGTGATGTAGAGAAGAAGAGAAAGCTTTTGTGAGCAGCCACTTCAGTTTGTGTCAAATAAAGGCTCAGGACACAGAGTTCAGAGTGAGGCCCTGCAGCTATAGTCCTCCTGGTGTAAAGGCTGTGAGGGTCTTCTCAGGCTGATCACCACAGGGAACTGAGGCACTGTTCTTTCACAGGCTCCACTCACTGGCCTTGTTCACAGCTAATATCACCTCAGGTCTGCACTGAGAGGAATTTTAAACCTATATTAGTGAATCTTTACCAAAAAACTATCAGATTACAGACTACAACAGCCCGTGTCCAGGAAGTTAATTCCATTTTGGAGTTAAAATCCGTTTCCACGCCTCAACGGTCTGGAATGTACCAGACCATGTAAATGAGAACTCAAGCCGGTGTTTAATTTATTCAATAGTCCCGCTTTTAAAAAGATTAAAAAAAAAGTCTCCTTAATAAACAGCAAAGTTGCATCATGTTGATGCCAGACTTTTACAGGCAATTCGATGGAAAATATATTTTTTTATTTGGTGAAAAATGTAATAATGTACTTTCTACCCATAAAGTCATGAAGATTTTGACCTTGTTCTCAAACTAAAGTGACAAACGTGAGTCAAAGTTCTCAGTCTGCTGTAACCCGACATGGAAAGAGTTAAGTTTTGTTGCTATGTGTTGCACAGAGAGCTGTATTATGCAAGCTGGGAAGCACAGACACACACACAGAGAGGAAGTGCATTACAGAATGCTGAGCTCAGGGCTTTGGCTCGCCGCCAAGCATACACTCCTGCGTGTGCAGCGCACTCACACTCAGCTGAGGGCATACCGATTTTTCCAGCCTCCTCCTCCTCCTCCTCCTCCTCGAGTCACCCTCTCTCGTTCTGTTACGTCAGTAGTTCAGCTGTGGGCCAGGCATGACTGGGGCAGGGCGGAACAACAACAGAGTAACACAGTGGTGCGTTTCTCTCTTCCTTTCCTCTCACTCTTTTTTTTTTGTCTGTTTAAAAGAGACAGGATGTGGACTGGTGTTTTAGAAAAGTACGTGTTATTGTGGCGTTAAGGCTGAAGTGAAACAGTTTTTTTCCTAACAGGAGGCGAGACAGCTGCCTCCTTCTGCCTCTTTTGATTTTGCTCAGTTCGGTATTTCACCACGTTTCATGTCAACTGCACCCACTCTATTTACAACGGTGGTTCTGTGCAGCAGGCCTGATATGTGTCAGCTTTGCACCATGTGTGAGAACGTCTACCCCGAGTGGAAATCAAATCTTCCACATGACGTTGCAGGCTGAAGAGCACTTTTTGTTTTCTGTCTGGTCAGACGTGAATGTATTGTTTTTACTTATCTCAGGGCTTTTTAATCACACACACAAGTCAGAGTGTCCCGTCCTGAGTCAGAGTACGAGGAACTTGAACTGATCTTTAGGTCGAATGAATGTGAAGGTTCTCTTTAAATGTCCACCATTTTAGCACGAATCAAATGGCGACCGATTCAGTCGGTGATGTTGTCCATCACTACGGCAGAGAACAACATTAAAGTTAAAAACCAAGTGAGGAGTTGGCTCATTTTACAGAGGGTTAAACACAGAGGTGTAAAGAAACCAATACCAGGAAACGCTTCAGGTCTTTCCCCAGGGATTTAAAACTTCTAACACCAATGATTTTTGATCAAATCGCTGAAGACGTTTGGACTAACAGGTCAGACCAGGGTCTAAATCTGAGCCTTTTTGTCCCTTCAAACATATCAAGACAGATAATCTGTGTTCAACCAATCCCTCATTATAACAGAGTGTCAATGAGAGAGAGGCAGAAAGGTTATTCCTGTTTATTTCCTTTTTCACCACACCTAGGTGTTATGACTGGTACGTGCTCTTTTCTTTCAGCAGAAGAATTCAGCCGCATCGTTCCACGCAGTGGTCTGTGTCCATGAAGTTTTCATGTTCTCCCCCGTTTGTGTGAGGGTTTTTTCTTCCACACACCAGAACATGCCATTGGTTTAATGTTCCCTCTGAATTGACCAGTGATAAGAGTGTGATTGTAGTCGTTTGTCTGTGTGTGTGTCCCTACAGTGTGTAGTCTTGGCACATTACTGCTGAGATTGGCCCTCCCCACACTCCCACCTCCCTCCCTCCCTGCCTCCCTCCTCCCCCCCTCCCCCCCTCCCTCTCATGACTCTGAAAGGCATTAGTTCCTATGTAACCTCACTGGTTCCAAAACTTTTCAGAGCTCCCCACTTTATAGAAAGGCCTTCTGTAAAGCCCTATCTCCCCTGCGGCAGACCCCCCCCACCACATGTTGACACATTTATAGTTATCACTGCTGTTTCCATTCACAGGGAAATAAATGTAAAACATAATAATTGAAGAATCCTGCTCTGCTGAATCTGTGTAGGACAGTCGTGCTGTGCAGCTTTAAATGCTAACACATTTGTGTCCTGTTTGTTCCTGTTTTTGTGCAGGGTTTCACCTGAGCGGCACAGTCAGGGAGCCCGCCACAGCCTCGGAGCCAGAGCTGGTCTGCAACGTGAGCGTCAGCTTCGACCGGTGTAAGATCACTGCAGTGACTTGCATCTGTGGCAACAAGGACATTTTCTACTGCGCCCACGTCGTGGCACTCTCGCTGTACAGAGTGCGGAAGCCTGAGCAGGTCAAACTGCGCCTGCCCATCTCAGAGACTCTTTTTCAGATGAACAGAGATCAGCTGCAAAAATTTGTGCAGTACCTGATCACAGTGCATCACACTGAGGTGCTGCCGACGGCACAGAAACTGGCTGATGAAATTCTGTCACAGAACTCCGAGATCAACCAGGTTCACGGTGAGTGGGTTCACTGGATAACCAGCTGTTATTTTAGACTCCGATGGAGGACGGTGTGTTCCGGCACTATGTTGTGTATGCATCACAGGATCAAAAACACACTCACTTCCTCAGTCGTCCACCAATGAGAATGCAGCTGCAGGTTTCTCCCGCAGTTGTGGTAAAAAAAAAAAAGAAAAGGAAAACAAAACAAAAACAAGCAGTTCCTGAGTACATGCTACGTGTGTCATCATGCACTCTTACTCTGGCTTAAACCCAAAGTCTGACCTAAGTTACGTGTTGAAGCAGAGATTCTTCTTAGTCACTGTAATGTCTCCACAATGACAAGTTTTCACTGGACTTAAACACGTGCTGTCAAAAGAGGAGCCACTACACAAGGTCACAGTCGGGTCAAGTTGGACATGAATGCATGACAGGAATGTTAGAAACAGGAAGTATCTTTGAGCAACTGATTTACAGTAAGAGTGTTCTTTGGCAATGACAGGACCGGAATAACAGTTAGAAAAACAATATCATCTGTATATACACAGCCACCTGGGAAATATGTTTTATCCTCAACCTTTATTTTTCTTTAAAGCTATTTTCATTTTTTTTTTGTAATTTCATATATCCTGTCAGCAAAGTTAGTTAGTTCTTGTTAATGTTCTTGTTAACCAGAATAAGGGTTTTTCCGCAGATTTGACATGTTTTAGTTTTGTTTTTTTGTAGGAAATGGAAGAAATGTGTTGGTTCACCATAAAACACAATCAGTAATGTGTGTGAGGAACTGAGAGCGTAAGAAAGAGAGAGAAAGAAAGATAACGGCAAAACGTGTGAGGAAGTGGGCGTGAGAAAGACAGAAGTAGGGAGAGAGAATGTTAGAGAGGTGGAGAGAGAGAGATTGAAAGAGAGAGGGTGAGAGAGAGACCAAGTTGATGAAGGAAAAAGAAAAGGAAGAGACAGAGAGACAACAGGGGAGACATAATGAAGTGGGAGTGAGAGAGTCTGACAGATGGAAAGAGAGACCAGGTCATGTCCATGGGTTTCTGAGCAGCACCTGACTGTGACCGTGACCCTCCTCAGCTCCACTTCACTGAAGTCATGAACATGTTAGTGCTGAAACCCCGAGCCTGTTTCACCATTCAATCAAAATAACGTGTTTTTTTATGACTTGCAGTAAATTGAATGCTGATTCTTTACATCTTGAATTCCATCCAGGAGCCCCGGATCCAACGGCTGGTGCCAGTGTGGATGATGACAACTGCTGGCATCTGGATGAGGAGCAGGTTCAGGAGCAGGTGAAGCTCTTTCTTTCCCAGGGGGGATATCACGGCTCAGGAAAGCAGCTCAACCTTCTGTTCAGCAAGGTAACTACCTCTCCAGCAAGAAACCAAGCATGAGTGATTCCTCACCCCGGTGCAGTTTATTCAGTTGACTGTGGCAGATTTTTGGTGACCTTCACCCATTACGTCTGCCCCGTCTCCTCAGGTGAGAGAGATGCTGAAGATGAGGGACTCCAACGGCGCCCGCATGTTAACGCTGATCACAGAACAGTTCATGGGCGATCCCAGACTGGTGCTGTGGAGGCAACAGGGAACCACCATGACTGACAAGTACAGACAGCTGTGGGATGAACTAGGTATACTTCACTCACAGTTACAGTATGCATTACATTCACTGCTGTGAGCTGAGAAATCGTGAAGGTCTGTGTCACATGTCAGTGTCCCCCCTGGGTACAGAGAACAGAGAACCAAGTTATGGTCGTCACAGGTAAAGGTAGATTACAGATAGTACTGCTGTAACGCAGTTCTCTGAAATATTCAGGAAATCTTTCACAGATTTAGATCGTATTAATGTCGTGGACACTGATATTTGTGTCATTATCTTCATGACTTCTCAACAATCAAACAAAATGTCAATTGGAAGCTTGAGCTAATTAGGGTTTTTAGCATTGTTAGCATTTGTAAAAATAAAATAAAAAATATATTTATACCTATTTATATATATATATATAT